GACTTAAGCACTTTTTACTAATGTATGCTTACAGTAGTAAACCTTACAAGTAAGTAAACCTAGTGCCCTCTGCTGACCAACCTGTAAAGAGTTTAAAGAATTATGAGTTCCATCTTTTCCACACTTTTTTTGGGAGGACCCTAAAAGACAGTAGTTACACTGATCTGTCAATACCCAAGAAAAACTAACTCCTTGTATGTTTTATTTCTTATTCTGGACCTCCAATATATTGACAGATTAACCCCAATGTAATGCTGTCAAATGTCTCTAAATATTTGAATGAATATGAACCCGTTGTGTTTATTCACAGTATCTTAGCTAATCTTCCAAAATACGTGTTTTTCATTTGTCATTGTTACAACAACTTAAGATTTGGGAATACTTTGATCTGCGCATGTCAGAGTACATAGCACACTCACAGTAAAGTAGAGGTCAGTTTAATAGGATTTTTTACAGTAGTAAACCTGAGCGAGTGGACTTGGGGCTTCTTACTTAAACAGTGCCACTAGGGGGCAAGAACTGAGTTCTGTGTTAAATTTTGTAAACTCAAACGAGTGCACTGCCAAGTACAGGCCAGGTATTTTTTCTGTTGTCGACTGCCACACACACACACACACACACACACACACACACACACACACGCGCACACACACACACACACACACACATATATATATTAATATATATACACACACACACACACACACACACACACATATATATATATATATATATATATATGTGTGTGTGTGTGTGTGTGTGTGTATATATACATTTTTTTGCTAAATATAAATTTATATATTCATAAAGTGCTTTCAGATCTTGATTATGTGGTGCTGATCTCAAGCTTATTTTATCGATATAGTTGTTTGCTTGGAAAAATTGCACATAAGGGATTATGGTTTTCATATTCTGAGATATTCTTACTGATATGACAGCAGTAGTAGTAAAAGTATATTCATATGAGTCTAAATACCAATCTCAGGATTTTCTCTATGAATCACATAACTTGTCTACAAACAACCACCGTGATTATCTTCCTTACTGTGAGTAAAGCACTGACTGACTCTAAATTGAGGGTGAAGGAGTTGGTTCTGATGTAACACAGAGATATAACAGGTTAGTGGGACTGTCGTAATGGGATCATCCTGAGGATTTGAAAGTTATTTGAAGTGCCGTGTACGTTGGAGCTACAGACAGAAGTGCAGGTCCAAGTTCTTTCAGTTATCGCTGTAGACCTCAATCTCATTTTCATAGTTCAAGATGGAAAATGACAACTAACCCTAGGATGTTGGCCCAGTAGACTACAGATAAGTTATAGTATTACACTGAATATCAGCAGGTGTTAGTGTTGCCACACAATTGTTTACAAATAAAAATAAATATGAATGAATGAATCACTCTGTAACTCAAAGAATTAACCAATCTTTCATCCTGCTATATGAATAAATGTTCTGCAGTGTGGGATTTGATTTGACCGTGTCAATAGGGAGTTTGATGGGAACATTTTTGGTAACACTTTACAACAAAGGTCCATTAGTGCATTATTAAGCAGTGATAAACTATTAAATAAAGGGTTAGTGTTAGGGTTAGGGTGCGTAACCATATTATGTAATGCCTCACTAAGCAGACAACCCCCGGCTCTTTGTCCTAACCTTAAGAACACCTAATAGTTAATAATAGTGGTATCCTTTATAAAGGGACCCTTTGTTTACTAATGCTAATGCGTAACAATGCACTAAGTAATGTTTAGTGTAATATTACCAAATTTTCACTTTCCAAATACTTTCGAACTTGGTTGAACTAGATAACCCTTAGAACATGCATGCGTCTGGCTCATGACCCCCACATGAAAGGATCACGGAGCTGTTTGTGCACAAATCTTCTCACTGACCTTAAATTTGTTGTTTAACTGAGGACGGAGGAGAGAGTGTGAGAGCCGTTTTGTACCCTGTCCTGTCATGACACCGAGCAAGACGACTCTGACTGATACTTTAACCCCCAGCAGAGGATTTGTGGGATTCTTAGTGGAGTGGAGGATTAGGGTTTTAGTGGCACACGGCACACTCTGGGTCTGTGGGTCAGTGTGTTAGTGTATCAGTGAGTCAGAAGTCTTTTATTTTTCACCAAAGTAGGTCAGCTATCTGCTTTCCATGGGTGGGCCTAAAACTGGAACTTCCTGGTGTCACCTGCTCACATGTTTACATCAAACTCTCCTTATGCTACATCCATCACACGTGCACTCACATTCTCAGCTTCCACCCATGCTCTTCAACTACTCAGTGGCACAAGAGTTTTATTAAAATCTATTAACTCAATGACCAATAACATTTAGGTACAACATAGTAAATGACTTAGTTTTAACCCTCCCACTGTCTTTATGGGTGACCCCACGAGCAAAGTTGGCCATTGAGCAGGAATGATGGTTTATCCCTTGAGGTCCATGTGGCAGGGGTGAGGTGGTGCTCACTCCTCACCTCTGTCACATGGACCCAAGGGATAAACCATCAACCCTGCTCAATGGTCAACTTTCCTCGCGGGGTCACACCCATTAGGACAGTGGGAGGGTTAAAGCTGAGAAATAGCATTTCAGAGCTAGCTGCAAAGGCTAATCAAACATAAACAATGACAAAACTGTAAACACATACAGAGATTAAATTACAAAACATTTAGGCTGTGATGTGGTGTAATATTTTACAACACCAGACAAGATAAAATTACAGTTACATAACTGCACTACATGAAAATTGCAGCAATGTTTTGAACGTATGCTTTTTCTTTGGTCAAATTGCTAATCCAGCCCTCTGTCCAACCTTTCATCCACTCATCCAGTTTCTTCTGGTTATTCAAGGTTGCTTCGGACAAATAGCGGATCCAGGAGGGAAGCCTGGACCTTTCTAATAATCCTGGAGATCCCAAGGAGTTCACAGACCAGAGGGACTACATAAATGCCCTGAAGCAAATTCTGAGTCTTATCCCAGAAGGTCATGTCTGAAGATGCCCACGAGGATTCAGGTGCCCATACCACCCAACATTGTAAACTGGCCTCAAAGTAGAGGCTTGGATAGAAAAAACAACCTTGATGAGGAAGGTGGTCAAACCTTGGACTTTGGAACCCAAAAAGGCCTCCAGGAAGCCATGTGGCAGATGAGGGAGCAGGTATCTATTTAATAATTGAGAAAACCAAAACAGAAAGTTTCACCCATGAGGTCCATAACCTAATGTTACTGGCTCCGTGGCCTAGTGGTATGGTGCTAACCCTGAGACTGAGAGACTGTGGTTTCAAATCCATGGTCAGGTCATACCAGAGAATTTAATATTGGGACCCAGTGCCTCTTCAATTGACATTCAGCATTAAGGGGTTAAATTGGGGGGTTACACCACCAAATAATTCCTGAGCGTGTCTGAGTCTGGAACTCACCGCTCCCCCGGGATATGGGTCAAATGCGGAGAACAAATTTCACACACGGGACTTTAACTATACCTTCAATAAAAGTTTGGTGCACAAATACACACTTAATTTGAGAGACGACACACCCCAGGCATACGACATATCTAGCATACCAGACACATTTTTATTTCCTATAGCCGATGTTTTATAGAAGATTTAGATTAACTGGAAATCTCAGATTATCCTATTCTGCGGAACGTTTCTGCACAAACTGAGTTTTCTGAAAACTCCCACTGATCAGACAGCAAATTGCTATTTTATTTATTGATTCTTTGTCTGCAACAAGGGTTTTGTGATTCAAACATTAAATTGTCAAAAATCTTTTCGGTCTTTCAAAGACAGAAAGCAAAACCTTATCAGCGGCATCACGTAACCACTGAGCTGATTTATTACAGCTTTGTAGATGTAGATTTGTATGGATAAAAATCTTGTTTGATCAAACAAAACATTTTAGTGCCAGGCATTGATTATAGTCCATTTTGGATTATGTAACTTGACCACTGCTGTTGGCCTTTCAGGTGAAGTTGGGACATTATGTTATGACCTACCAAATTTTAAAGCACAACCAAACATGTAATTTTTTGTAAACAATTTTATCCATAAACATTTTTTGTACTTTTCCATAAATATCTAAATTAGTACTCTAATATCTGAATCACGGCCCATTTGCTTTACCTTAACTAGACCTAACAGAGGTGTCATCGTTTTCTTGTTTCAAGTACTGGTGACATTGTGGTCGATGGTTTAGATTCTGATGTTTTCTCAATGCAAATGCAATATAAGAAAATAAATATGTGCCAAGAGAATGTGACAACTGTTTGCGCATCAAACACAGACGGTCCATAAAGCCACTCTCAGTGTTTGCATGAGCAAACACACCCTTTGACCCAGACACAAAACCAAAATGATTACAAGACATATGCATCGTTTTTTTTAGAAAGGCTTCATTTAATGACCACTAGTTCACATGCATTAATTATAACAATAACAACAACAACAACAACAACAATAATAATAATAATAATAATAATAATAATAATAATAATAATAATAATAATAATATTAATAATAATGAGTGACTGATTATAATCAGAGAAAAACAATAAAAAAGGTTTGTCAGTGAACCACATCTTTAAAACCTTGAGACAATGATTAAAACACACACACACACACACACACACACACACACACACACACACACACACACACACACACACACACACACACACACAGCAGCAGCTCAGGAGGTAGAACGGGTTGACCAGTAATCAGAAGGCTGCAGGTTTGATCCCAGCTCCCACCAGAGAATGCTGCTGTTGTGTCCTTGGGCAAGACACTTAACCCCCCTTGCCTGCTGGTGTTTGTCAGAAGGACCAGTGGCGTCCGTATTCTGCAGGCCTCGCCTCTGTCATTGCGCCTCGAGGCAGCTTTAGCCACATCATAGCTCATCTCCACCAGAATGTGAACGTGAAAGGGTGAATGTCTGATTGCATTGTGAAGCACTTTGGGGGCTTGTAGAACTCTAAGAAGAAATACGGACCATTTACCATTTACTTATAAAACACACATTTTTATTAAAATACATACTCAACTGAAATCAAATAGTTCAAAATATCATTACAAACCATTGTTGTTTCTGATATAATATACAGAATTATATAAAAATATAAACAATTAAACATTTGAACTGACAAAAATATACAATCCTGGCTCTGTTCCCTCTTCCATGACATAATCTGTATGCTGAGAGCCTGCAGCGTGTTTAAACACAAAGAAAGCTCAGGACAAATGCACGCTTGCTCTCTGTCAGACATTTTAGGTCACGCCTCTCTCTACATTAAATACCCGTCAAGCAAAGTTAGCTCTAGAATTACAGTAGGCAGATAAAGTGCTTGGTTTGACTGCGCTAAAACGGCACTTAAGTGTTCCATCGAGTCCTGGGACAGTAAATATACACAAAACAAAAACAGACAACGAATCAGAGGAAAAAACAGATCCATGATTTCACAGAGAAAGGTGTGGTGAGGAAATTAGGCCAGCGTTTAGACCCATGCATCGCCATTGTTGGATTTCTTGTCTGAAAGGACTTGTTTCACCTCATCCATGAGACAAAGTGGGTTTGGTGAGTTCCTCTGTTACAAAACCAGATAAGGAAACTGTAATTTGGAAGACATTTCTTTTTCATACTGCCAGTAAATCTCCAGGGAATTACTAAATCCCTGTTAGCAAGGAGGCAAGAATCACCTGCAGGTTAAATCAGATTTAAATTGCTCTATTTAAGCATAAATTGCTGTTCATATGAGTGTGAATTTGATTTAACTGGTTTCTGTGGTACTTTGATATTTCTTGATCCTTGACATCAAGCATGCCTGACAATCTTTGACTTGCTCCCACTGGAAATTCCCCCCAAGAAAAAACAAACTATTGTTAATGTCCTTCACAAACTTCACGCCTTGAATATAAGCAATCCGAGATAAGGCGGTGATATTTCTAACCTGTTTCCACTTTAAATCCTGCAGAATATTTATAATCTGATGAGTCTGAGGGTTTGTTGTTTACATTCAAACAACAAATGAGCTCTGGTGCTGCAACAGAGGCGTTTCCATAAACAGATACAGCTGGCTTGGTTGTAACTGGAAAGCTACTAAATTTACATCATCCCAGGAACTTTAGACTTTGAAAGCTATAAATGCCAACGTGCAACAGCACATGCTCGTTGACCCACCTGCCGAGCAGACCTTCACATCAGCAGGCACTGAAGCAATGTTTGCTCACACTGCTGTGAGATGACCTTGGGTTCATAAACTGTCAGAGGTACCTACATGACTCACCCACTTGAGTAAAGAATAGAGTGCAGATGTTGATATCTAAATATTGCAAACACACTCACTGCAGCTGGGACTGACCGTAACTGCTCGGACCAGATCCATCCAGCTAAGAAATGTCCTTCTGAAAATTTGCACTTGATAAGTTAAAGAAGAAGGCACACTTTAGATCAAGGATCCCAACAATTCTCCTTAAAAGCTTTGAGTTAAAATGGCAGCAATAAAGAAGAAAAGATGCAAATGGTAAAGAACAAATCTGCAGAAATGATTGGAGGCAAAGAGGAAGAACGTTCTTTGATCTGGTGGCTTTGTCATTAAAAACAAAAACAAAACAAAAAAAATCATCCAGCAGCTTAACTGGTCTGCGTGCAGTCCCGACCAGTGACCTGCTAACATTATTAAGAACATGAACATAAAATAAAATAAATCCAAAAGACATCAAAGACAGACCTAAACTTAAAACATCAACATTTGTTGTGGAGCTGAAGCTCCACATCCAGCATAAACTGGCAAAATGTATTAGGCTGGCTTTAAAAAAATTCATATATTTGTTTAAAAAGCAAATAAATGTGATTTTTAATGACAGATTAGACTATCTTAGCATAATTTTAAAGTCAATGTGGAGGGTTTTGGAGCATTTGCATTCTATTTTAAAAACGTGATATTTCAGTCTTATTACTGTCCCAGTAATATGTTGCATTTGTGGTCATAATTCCTCTGATATTTAATTTCAACGCTACCATCCTGAATGTCACAACACAGTTTGTTTCTTGTAAAAAGAGCTCTATAAATATAGATTTTTTTGTAGTAAATTACAAGAAGATCATACAAAAATAAGAATTCATTTGTAATTTTTTCTGTTTCTCGCATGGAAACTACAAATGTAGGCTGATAGACCTGTAGCGTTTATGAGTTTTTGTCTCTCCAAGTCTTTTTTTCTAAAACAAAAAACATTCTAAAACATGTGACGATAACAGCATCTCCTGTTGTCTTCTATGTGCAGCCGCAGGACTCTACTATCATGTCGGAGACGTCGGTTTTGACGATGCTGTGCTGAGAGTTGAAATAGACCATGGAGAGCGGTCGGCGCTCAGTGGGGATGCAGCACGATGCCGCGGCCGTGTTGATGCCGTTGACTTTCAGCTGGCTGAACACTGTGGCGTGGAACGAGGACGCTATCCCTGGAGAACCGGACAGATGCTGCGGACACTGACCCATGCAGTAGTTCATGTGGTACCCCTCAGGTGCAATGATCCACTCATCCCACTGGATGTCCTTGAACTTGATGTAGAAGTCCTTCTTACAGCACACTGTTACATGCTCACCACACCGCAGTGACCGCTTCCTGATCAGGTGCTTGGAGGGGTTGTCACGAAGACGCACCTGGGCCACCATGAAAGGCTGGTTTGGGGAGTCACCAGAAGCATCTAGAGAACACAGGTTCTTCCCATCTTCTTCGCAGCTGACCTCAAGCTGTAGCTGGTGTTCACCTCCATCCAGGAAAGCCTGCAAGGTGCGGGTGATGGGAAAAGTGTGCCAGTTGCTCTCCTGAATTTCCAGCATCTTCTCTATCACCAGGGTGCGGTTTGATCCCGAGGCTTCTCCAACTGCAGAGAGGAAGACCCGGGCTAGGAGACGGGAGGTCCGGTGAGGGTCCTGAGAAGAGTGGGCGTAGATCCACAGAGAAGACTGGAGGACCTGGATGCTCTTGCCACGTTCCTGCAGGAACTGAAAGGTGAGGCTGAGGCTGGCTTTATCCCCATTGTCAGAATTATCTGTGAAAGCAAGACAAAGTAAAAACAACACCATGTTAGGATTTTTCAACATTTAGTGAAAAAGTAAACATAATCATGTAAAAGCAAACAACATATCAGTCTACCTGAAATAATGCATCAGAATGTGCTAAAGTTTGGGGTAATTTGTTGATTTCTGAAAGAAAATTGATTGAATTTTGTGATTTGAGACTCTAACCCCATTAGTGAATGAAGGTACAGCTTGCAGCGATTCTTTGAGGTAAACTCAGTCTTGTTTCATCCAGAAAAGGCACACAGAGACTGACACTTCAGTATCTTATTACTTTTGGATTCATTTATGTAGATTTTGCATCTGCTGCCTTCTGTGGCACAACTTTACCTCCAAAAACAAACTTCAAGTTTGTTCAAATGACACGTTGAAACATTAAGTAATATCACCCTAACAGTTTACTTTTGAATTTCTGGTTTCAATGTCTAAAGGACAAAATATTATTTGTGCATTTGTACGTGAACATCCATATTTTTAAAGATTTTCCACAACATGTGTGGTGCATCTAATTTAACAAAATAAAGTTTTCCCTTGGATAATTTAGATTTGGGTTATCTCCAGGATGAACGGTCCCAAACTGTGTAAAACATATTAAACATCCTTTAGACATTGAAACAACCCGAGGTTTATGTCTTGTTAGGAAATTCTGGCTCCAGTTTGATTTTACGCACGGAAAAGGCGCTAAACTGCTTCACCAAAACAAGTTTAAGGTAATAAAATAATGATTGCCAGACTTACTTATATCTGCAAAGCTCACTATTTCATAGCCTTGGTCTTTGGTTAGGGAGTTGTTTTCTAGTTCAAGGGTGCCATCCTGCCTGACGCGACCAGAGTGCAGTTTACGCAGCGCAGTGAGGAGCGCGACCCGGGGCACCGTTTGGGTGATGTTTGGTCTCTCTCTCAGGTGCAGCTTGTCCAAAAGTTGCTGCTTGGCAAACTCTACCATCATCCTCTCCTCTGCTTCTTTCTCCATCCCCGGGATGCCACAGGACGCGCACGCAGGGGAGCCGCTGACCCTGAGACCCTTCAACAACAAGGTTGTCAGTAAAACAAACGCCGTGAGTGAAAAAGACGGTGTCATCCTCCGGCGTGAAGTCATTAGTTGCATTATTGCGCTCACAGTGAGTAGACAATAAATAAAAAAATGTATATTTTGTTGAAATCTTATTTCCTCTGAGTTTTCCAAACGTTAATGGCTCGTGTTTGCAGCTGGACGCCACGAGGACAGCAGCTGAGAGAGCAGAGTGGCGTCTCAACCTCCTGATGCTGAAGATATCTGGGGTAATCCACCAAAACGGGTGACACGCTGGAGGGACGCACCAATGAGCGCACCGCGGAAAAACTGGCAAAGCATCAGCCTGTCCTCTCACAACACACACACACACACACACACACACACACACACACACACACACACACACACACACACACACACACACACACACACACACACACACACACACACTGACTCACAATCACTTTGTTCAGGATTTACGGCAGTCGCCTGTATGATCTCATTTTATAACAGAATGATTTTACTATTTGGTACCACGCTGTCCCCTGAATGCGCAGATATAACATCTCCGCAGACCAAAGTTGCAGAACTGCGCCCTTTAACCCAGTTACTGAACAACCGCGAGGCAAAAGCCCAACGATGGCTCAAAATGTGAGAAAGAGCTCGGGAGCGGCTCTTCAAACAGGTTCTGTCATGTTTTTACGCAAGGTGGCACTAGGTTATCATCATGTACAGCGAAAAGATGACTGGCGTCTCTGTGCGCGCGCAGCTACCTAAAGGAGAGACACAAAGGAAACTAGCATTAAGCTGCTACAAGTTTAGGTTGTTTTTGGTTCCTGCTGCTTATTCACCAAATAAATGAACGGGAAGAGACATGAAATATAGTCTGAAACAAATCATCAGTATCCTCTGTTTGAACTGCAGCACAAGCCTTAAAAATATATAAACTCCAAATAAACCATGCCTTTTCCACACTGATAGAAAAGACCTAGTGACACGCACACTGGCATCAAGAAATGTTGTAGGTTTTGAATAGAATAGAATAGAATAGAATAGAATAGAATAGAATAGAATAGAATAGAATAAGACTTTATTGTTGTACCGGGACTGAAGCTGCTCTCACAAAGTTGCACCACTCTCGGAGTAAAACATGAACAGAAAAACATGGTGAAATATGATAAAAACACATTAATTGATAGTCAAAAATTGTTTAAAGTGTCCTCTGTTTAAAAACTAAATCGTTGCTTCATTTATTTATGCCTCGTCTTGTGTATATTTTGCCGAACATTAAACTGAACCAAATAACGCCTGCCGACTTGTGGAGAGTTGAGGTACTACAACTGTCTTGTGAAACAAGTTACACCAGATAATAAAATATGAATGAAGTAACTATTCTTCACAGGAATTTCACTTTAAGCTCATACATTTATTTTAAAAGGATGACCCAGAATTAGAATAGGTATAATGATGTAGAAATGTGAAGTGTCTGCATATCTTTGATTGACTGGTTGATTGATTGATTGATTGATTGATTGATTCATTGATCGAATCCTTCCTTCATTCATAAAAGCTACACCACAGGCATGCCATTGTATATTATATGTGAAGGAATTGCAAGTTTTTCTAAGATTTGGGCAAATTATTATTATTATTATTATTATTATTATTATTATTAGAAATAATAATAATAATAATAATAATAATAATAATAATAATAATAATAATATGTTTATGTATTTAGCAGACGCTTTTGTCCAAAGCGACTTACAAGTGATAATCGGCATGTTGCCCTTGAGGCTAACGACAACAATAACAACAACAGCTTGACATCAATCATGGAGAGGAGGGAGCAAGGAGTGGACAGTAGAGAGGGGGGATGGGTGCATAATAATAATAATAATAATAATAATAATAATAATAATAATAATAATAATAATAATAATAATAAAAGGAAGCTGGGCGTGAGGATCTCTGTCACAAACATGAGACCGATCCGAGTGAATCACGAAATCAGGTTGAAACCTTAAAACAGGAGCTCCATAATTAAATCAGGGCTCCGAGACATCCATCCATCCATCCATTTTCTGAACCCGCTTTGTCCACTTGGGGTGGGGGGGTGGGGATGGGCTGGTGCCTATCTCCAGCGGTCAACGGGCAATCAGGCGGGGTACACCATGGACAGAGAGCCAGTCCATCGCAGGGCAACACAGAGACACACAGGACAAACAATCACGCACACACACACACACACACACACACACACACACACACACACACACACACACACACACACACACACACACACACACACCTAAGGACAATTTGGACAGACCAATCAACCTAACAGTCATGGTTTTGGACTGTGGGAGGAAGCCGGAGTACCCGGAGAGAACCCACGCATGCACAGGGAGAACATGCAAACTCCATGCAGAAAGATCCCAGGCCGGGAAGCGAACCCAGGACCTTCTTGCTGCAAGGCAACAGCTCGAACCACTGCGTCACTGTGCAGCCGCTCCCAGACATATCGTAGAAAAAAAATCTAACATATATCAAAGTCCTGACAGCTGAGCAGGACTCTTTGCATGAATGAAACAGATGAGATCTTTGCATGAACACACCATAACACATCCACAGCAGTTTGCAGAGGCAATGGAGTACAAGTCGCTCACAAAGAGGTACAAATCAGAAGTTTTCACTGCCACAAAAAGGCAGACCAGTTAGATGGAACTCCTTGAAGAGTTCAGGGCTCATGAAGAGACAAAGTCAAACCGACAGATCACAGAAATAATGGAGGCTGAAATGAAGGATTTCATTTTAAAGGTGCAAAATATTTCTACAACCAGGAGGAATATTTTCATCAGACAGAAGCTAGTTTACGGAAAGAGCTGGAATAGAGGGTTTCATAAACGATCAAACTCAGGTTGTCACGGTTAACAAAAGGAACTTCATGATGAAATCCAGGTTACTGTTGAGAAGGAACTACAGAACTATCCCACCAGTATAACAGCTGATCCAGAGCCTGCCTGCACAGCCCTGGACACCACAGAACTTCTTCAAGCCGGAACTTTAAAGAACATAATAAAAATTTAGAAATGGGGCTTGGTGAGAACTTTTCTATCCAAGAAAAGCTCTGATGCCAAAAACAAGAAGGCTTCCTTTGGTTCAGACATTATGGGTTTGAGGACACCAAAGTCATGGATGAAAACGAGAAGCACTTGTTCCATCAATCCCAACTAAATGACATCCTGTTCCTTACAAACATCCCCACAAAAATCTCCATCACCCCTCACTCGTGTTGATCAGCAAGTGTGTGACAAGGAGGTTCATCACAATCTGAAAAAGGTAGCATAAGGCTCACTTCACCAGTCAGAAAACACATCACCTGTTCAAGTTTTTTCTGTGTGGTCTTGTGTTGCACAGGAGTTTCTCCGGGTGTTTCAGGTCACATTGGTGAGACCATGGAGCAAGAATTCCATATGGCTTTGAGGAGATTACTGTCCACCATCCGGCGTCTCAGGAGGGGAAAGCGGTGTGCTACCAAAACTGTTTACAGTGGTGATAGTGTGCTGCTGACCTCTACTCAAGACATTGTGGATTGATGGGCAGAATCAATTCAATTAAAGTTTATTTATATAGCGCCAAACCATGACAAGAGTCGTCTCAAGGCACTTCACATAATAAACATTCCAATACAGGTCAGTTCATTGAGCCAATCAGAAAAAAAGTTTCCTATATATGAACCTAGCAAATTGCATCAAGTCACTGACTAGTGTCAGTGACTTTACAGCAATCCTCATACTAAGCAAGCATTTAGCAACAGTGGAAAGGAAAACTAAAAAAAAAAAAAATTAATTAAATAACGTAACTACAGTTTTTAATTTTTTTTTTGCATTGAGACAGCTTCAACAAATGTTCGTCATAAGTATATACACAGTATATATAGTAACATATCTTTTGCCAGCGGGAAGGTCCCTTTTAAAATTTCTTACCATTACTATTAACTAAGTGTCCTTAAGGTGAGAACAAAGGGCCAGGGTGGGATGTCTGCTTAGTAATGCATTACATAAAATGATTAATTAGTTGTTAATACTTTACTTAATAGTTTATTAATGCTTAATAATGCATGAATTAACATGAATAAAGAGGCACTTATAGTAAAGTGTTACCAAGATTTGAGTGATTTCATTTCCTCACTAAACGATTCTTTTAAAAAAGGGGAGAGATTAGTATGCTATTAAGGGGTTGAACAAACTTGGGGTCATGATTAATTAGTACAAATTTATAGACAATTTTTACATTTTTGTCTCATATAGTTTTATTGGGTTAAAGAAGAGTGGTGAATAATTATATTGGCAGAAAAATCTCTGGTCTGAACATTTACATTATTTTCAGTGAAACTTTGATCAGGACATGCTCGTTTGGCTGACATCTTTTCTTTGGTCATCTATAAATCTTTAAAAAAATATAATTTTTTAAATATGTACGAATTCAGGGAATCTACCATATGGCAGAGATTTCAGTACAAATGGACTCAGGAAAGAGGATGTAAAATATGTTCCCAAAAGTTCCTAACGCTTGATCTTGTTTTCACAACTTTATTTCCTTGTACCCTGAACGTCTCCGTACAACGGCGAAGCACGTCGCTGACGTCAGCTGTCGGTGAGGGGGAAAAAGTGACGCCGACACAAGCCGGAGCCGAGAAGGGGAATAGTGTTTTGTTTCTTTTTTTCTTTCATTTATATCATTTTATTATTTCTCGTTTTGTTGGTATTTCGCATGATTCCCGCTGCGGGTTTGACTGCTTTGCTTTTCAGCGCTTGCTCCCTGTCGTTAACTTCCATGCCGCTCTCCCCTCACGCGGCGCTGTTTTGACAGTCGGGTCGCTGTGGATCCAACTCAAGCTAGCAGCGGTAAGTCATTTTGAAAGCTAGCAAACCTAACCCCCTCTTGAAAATAGACAGTGGTGGGACTGATTTATAACACGATTCACACCGCTATATACAGAGGCTCCTTAGTGGTTTGCCAGTTATACCATGAACCATTATGTTATTTTAACGCTAGACATGTAGCATTTATGCAAAAGAAAAGGCTAGCTAAGGGGGCTAACATTAGCTAGGTGGCTAATTATACTGTTTGTAGGAAGCAGGCTAAAATTGAGCTAGCTATTGTTAGCGTGTGGGTAAGCTAATATTTTCAGTCAACCGCACGACTGTCCATCCTGCCATCTATACTCAACAGTGACAACTGGACG